TCTAAACTCAGTCACTCAGGGGAGCCTGGGTGGCTCAGTCGGTTAAGCGTCTGCCTGCAGCAGGGGTCCCGGGGAGCCTGCTTCTCCCTCTCCCTCTGCTGCTCCCCCTGCTTGTGCTCTCTCTCTCTTTCTGTCAAATAAATGAAATCTTTAAAAAATAAATGCAGTCACTCATTTTGGATGATTTCCCTGCCCTCCTCATACCCACCAATTCTATAACAAATAGCTGCTCTGAATTTTCTCTCAATTCCCTTGTCTGTCAGTAGTCCTGCAAGTGGACAGCATACACCCCATAACTGCAAGCAAAACCTCCCTCCAAACTCCAGAGAGCCTTTCAAGGAAACCAGAACAGAAGACCCAAAGTACTTTCCTACATGCTTTGCTTTGCCCCCAAGGCTCCTGGATGCTGTCCCCACCCGGCCCCCTAGACCTCTCCCCATCCCACCCTTCTGAATTTTACTGGGATCTAAATCTGATTTCCACTGTGGAATGAAAAGGAAGATAAAGAGCCATTTACAAATGTCTTCTTAATTCCCACATGCCTTTTGGAAGAATGTCTGAGTAGGTCAACATTGTTTTTAATAATTCCTTTATATCAACAAAGGCAAATAATCACTACTTTAAGGAAAGATCATGGATTTCAGAATCACATCCATGGGTTCTGTTTACAGTTCACTCTCTTGACAAGGTGAGGGATCTTGGGAAAATCACTTGACCTTTCTGATTCAATTTTGTCATCAGTAAAACAGGGTTAACAAAGTAAACTTTATAGTTGCATGAGACAGTACCAGTAAAGCAACATATCATGCTCTTAATAAATACCAGTTCTCCTTTGTATTTTCTTTTCCCCTAACTTCACCCACACTCATCTTTCTCTAAGGAAAATAGCTAGGAAGGGAATCACTAACCATTCTAGAACCATTAAAAATAAGATCCTTCCAGTGGGAGGTACTTGCTAACTTGACTGTCTTGCAGTGCTTGACATAGTCCTCAGGGGCCTAATTACACCTGCAGATAAAACTGCTCACCAAACTGCTTATGTTCATCTGTATTCAGATTATTTGGAGTTTAAAAGTTAAGTGTGTCTTTTCTTACTTATTACACAAAAACACACATATCAGAGCTTCCCAAAAGACTAAAAAAGAGGCAGCCTTTATTAATTTGTCTGGTCAAGTTCAGTCCACATGGTTCTTCCAGGCTTAAACCTCTCACGTTCACATTGGTTATATTTCAACTCTTCCCCAGGGCTTCCCCTAGACCTCAGGGTCCCCAAACTCCTAAAGTTCCTTGAAGCCAACTGGATTTCTCAGAGAAATTTTTGTTCCAATAAGGTGAAGAGTGAGGAAGTGCAACCCAAAGAAACAGCTTTATCCTGAGGTAGGTTCTAGTCTTGGGGAACAAGACATCTGACTCTTGCCCTTCATAAAACATCCCTAGCAGTGCTTGGGGGAAGCTGGGCCTCCAGGTGGGAGTCTGTCCCAGAGCCTTCTCCATACCTCATCTCAAGTTCAAGGCTGAATCTAAGATAACCCTAGACATTATGTCTGGGTAGAGGCATTAAGAAAAGGAAAAAAAAAAAAAAACCACTACCAAGTCTCTGTTCTCCCTTCCTCCATAAATCTTTCTTGGTTTATTAAAAGAGGTGTTAAAGAAATCCTTTAGCTCCAGTCAGAACTTGTAGATCAAGGCCAGTAAAGAGAGTTTGGGAAGCACCCTTTCGGAGTTAGGCTGAGGCAAGGAAGGAGAAGAGGCACCAGAGTTTAGCTTCCTGGAGGGAACTGGCTGCCTGAGCCCGGCAGCCAAGAATCAGAACATGGATTTGGGTGACTGACATTCTAAACTGCACTGCCAATAAGGCTGGCCAGAGTTTAGGGTGACATAATGGGCTATCTCATTTTCTGCTGCATGATGTCTACTTTAAGAGATCCTTATGGGCACAGAGCTTACTGGAGGTTATTGCTGGAATGAAATCAGACTCCAAGAGTGCTAAGGGGACTAGATAACAAAGTATATGTAGTGTCTCAAGAATGTTTGCATTGTGTATTATGTACCCCTAACTATGCAGTCATAACTTCCTGTGGGTAATAGACAATAACATATTGAATGTGTAAAATGTATTTCATTAATGCACTTAATTTGAAGAATTACACAAATTCATAGAAATCAAAACAATAATGTTGAGCACATTGCAGAAGAGTCAATAAATACTTGTTATAGGACATACTTCCCACCATACAGATTTGACTCTTTTGTTGATGTAGACAAATACTTCATTCTTTCTTTGTCTCTCTTTCTCTCTTACATTGCTACTGTATATCATCAGTAAAATTGCCCCATTTGGGAGAAAGGGAAAAAAAATACCTAAGCCAGAAACCAAGAGTTTGGACAGTGTCCCAGAGCTAGTTAACTTTAAGGGAACAATCTGGTTATAACCCCAAGTCTGCTGCTCTTATACCACACTGTGATCATCTTGCAGGTAGGCAGAAGGATCAATGTTATCTTATTTCCACTTTTCTATATGAGTACAGACATTTATACACAATTTTCATGTAACCACCAGTGTGCATAGAAGGAAAATGTCATACCCACCAAGGACCCATAGGGACAGCTTTTGAAATAAACAGAGGCACATTTCTTAATACAACACAACTGAATTAATGTAAAGTTGGAAACCCGGACCCATCTCTACATGCCTTGGCCTCAGTTTTGTGAACCACTCCCCATCCCTATCCTAACTTGCAATTTGCTCCCTCAAAACCACCCCAGGACCTGACACTCTCTACTCCACCTGTGGGTTCCTCTCATTGGGCCTGCCCTGGGCAATCAGAATCCAATCCAAGAGGAAACTAACCTTCAGGATTGGGGTCAGCCATAACTGTTCAGACTGATGGCTGACAATGCCTTTTCCTTTGTCAGCCCTTTGGATGACTTGTCTCGCCAAGAAACCCCCAGGAATGACCCTCCGCGCTCCTTGGAGGCTACCCCATGAATAGATGGAATTCTCAGCGCCAGTAGCCGCCTCTGGGTGCCTAAGATGTTGCCAACAGGGACACCTCACAGCCACCTGGGAATACCAGGGTATGGGGGAGGGAGAGTGCTAGGGCTGGGAAAGGGCGGGAGGCCGCGAAGGAGATCCGGAAAGAGGTTTCTTTTACCGGAAAATTGACTGGAATTTTGTCATCCCGGAATCTGACGCCCGGAAGTGCCCTGAGAGGTGTAGGGTGTTGGGGTAGACTCGCTGAGCGCCTCCTTCCGTACTTTTTTTTTTTTTTTTTTTTGAGGCTCAGTCTTTAGCAGTCCCTCCGGGGCTAGACAGACGTTCCACAGGTTCTGGCTCTTTGGAACCTGGCTGATCCCAGACTTGAGGGTGTTAGATCTCTGTTTATGCTCAGGATGGACCTGCCTCTGTTCTACAGCATAGCCCGCGCCCGGTGAGTCCCAGTGCGGTGGGTAAAACGTAGCAGAGAGAAATACAAAGGGGTCTCCTTCTACCACCTGACCCTCTTAATTCACCCCAAGAGTCTGAGGGACGCCGTGGCGGCGGGTGTCGGCGTATGTTTTCTCGGGACCCCCACGCCCTCTTAATTCGCAGCCTCCCTGTCCCCGCTGCGCGCGACCCGAGGTGAGGCGGGCGCGCTGGCTCGCCCCGCTCACGCGCCGCCCCTGTCCCCGGCTGAGCGCGCTCTCGCCGCGAGCCCCCAGCGCCGAGCCCCGGGGCCGCGGAGCCCCGGGAACGCCTAGCCGGTCGCTGCCTGGAAGGACTCCTTAGTGCGCCGCGGCGGTTTTGCCAGGCGAAAAAGATTAGAAATCGTTTGTGTTTCTCTTTCACCTCCTTTCTTGTGCTCATAGTTTCTTTTTATCTGCAGAGCAATTGATTCAGTGTTGCACTCTGCCTTCCTCGTGTTTTCTTCCTAAGTACAGATTTTGGGGTGGGGGGGTAACCATTTCCTCAATTGATATACCATAGGGTGTAGCTGGCCCAATAAAAAAGCAATCACTGCACTCAGTGGAGTCAGCTGGTTATCAAGGGAGAAAGAGGAAAAGCCCAAGCCTTGATTTTCCTTCTTGTTACAGCGGAGCTGGATGGAACTCAGAGCTCATGACAGGCCTCTGCGAATTCGCAGGGAAATTCCAGTTCGAAAGCCTAAGAAAGTGCTACAAGAAAAGGCACAGGTCCTTCAAAAACGAAGGGAAAGGAAAAAGGGCATGAATGCCAACAGACTAATAATTACAGACCGCTGGAAATCACTTCCCTTTAGTCCTTTACTTTTAGGACTAATTGCATGTATTCTTGCTGTAACACTAACATTTTTTGTTCTTTTTAGAAGTGAAAATTAGCTTTATTTACTCCTGTTTATAAAAACAAGCCATGCTCATTATTTTGGAAAACAGACAGTAACCCTTAAATTGTAATCCTTAACTAATGATGAGGTGTGTGTGTGTGTATATATATATATATATATATACATATATTTATTAAATATGTATATTAAAAATATATGGCTTTTCGCATGGCTTTTATTCATCAGAGAAACAAAAGGGTCTATAGTATCTGCAATGAATGAGACACCATACTGTGGTGTGGCTTGAAACTTTACAAATATCTGAAAGCTATTTGTTAAAATTTGATCAATGATGACTCCATATGGTAAACTAGTTTCAAGTTGGTCAAATTTTAGCTTATCATCTCTGATTAGAAATTATCAGAAAATACTGGTGATGAAATATATACATTATAAATTTTTGATTCTGACTGTTTTAGACTAATGGATGGGCATCCAAAAACAGTGGATATAATGAATAATATTGAAATATCCATTTGCTTTTTCATAACTTCAGGAAAGATAAATGTGTGATACATACATGGGCTTATGTGCTTTTAATAGACAATAGGAGAAGCAATGACTTATAAAACTAAAGACATCAATGAGATTAAATTACATGAATTAAGGTAGTAGCAGAATAATAAATGGATGATAAATAGAGCAACTCCTACTTACCAATAGGTGTAAGTCTGTGCTTTAGGGAATCTTGTAAATTTCCAGTATCCGAATTAGAAGACATTCTTAGTAAAATTATAGGTGGTCCTTTGGCTTAAAGCAGAAATCATTGAGCATAAGAAAAAGTACAGCTTGTCAAATTTTGTAGTCCTCGGTAGGACACATCAGTCTACAGTAACCCTTAGTGAAAGTTTAAAAAATTGCAAAAAAAAAAAAAATCCAAGAATTCAGAAAGTTACAAGTAGGTCTTTCCCTGGACTCTGTACTTTTTCCAGCATTAGTGGCCTGCTGTAAACCATGTATCCAGTTACATGATGGTTTCTAATCAGAAGAATGGAAACTTTTGATAGGCTTAGACGGATCACATGACACTATGCAAGTTGATAAGAGGACCCTGTTATAAAGTGACAGCAAAAGAGATAAGAACTCCTGGCAGATAATGGCAAAGAAATGATTAACTCAGAAGTGGAGAGGTGCTATGCAGCACAGAGACTGGAAAGTTGTAAAACTGAGGGGTCAGAAGATCATACTTAGTGGATAAAACTCCAAACCAACTTAAATCTACTAACTAAACTTAGGCTTGTGACATACCCCCTTGATGTCATCACCTCTTGGCATGGAGGAGGACAGAGGTAGCTCTTCTGACCTCTGTAAACATATTTTAGATGATAACATTAGCACACATTAATTCTTTAAATGATGACTAGAGATATGATTGACACTTTAAAATACTACAGGTAGCATTTCCAGGCTTATGGTCATTTATTTATTCATGTGTTGTCAACCAACTTTTTAATCATGCCTATTCATTAGCTGCAAAGTTAATCTTAGCTTATTTGTTCATTAGTCAGTTGATTAAAAGGGCAGCCTATCTCTTTACCCCCAATAAAAGTAAAGCTTATACTTTGAGGTTAGTGCTGGCAAAATGATGAATGTATAAAACGTCTTCCATAATTTTAAGTTATTATTCTTTGCTTGAATCCATGGGAAAAATCTGGATCACTCTTCACCATGAAAGAACTATTACTAAAATGACCAACAGTAGTTTTAGGTTCTTGTTAAATATCCCTATTGTTCTTCAAAGTAATAAACTATGGATTCTTATAATAATGCATATCTTTTCCCATGTTGTGAAAGAGTTACTTGTCTGTTTTTATTTCTATAATGGAGCAAACTTCTTTTCCCCCTGAGATTCTATTTAGAAAACTCGAAATGTTTATGTACAGCATTTTTCCCATCAAAATTATATTTTCTTGGATTAGATATCACTGCATATAATAGAAAAGTCAGAATAAAGTGGTTTAAATAAAACCTTTATTTTTCTCTTAGAAGTTCAGATGTAGACAATCCAGGGATGGTACAATAGCTCTACAAAGTTGTTCAGAACCAGGTTCCTTCCATTTTACTATCCTTTATCTCTTGTCCTCATGTTTCAGAATGGCTGCTAGAATTCCAGCCATCATTCTATACCAGGAAGAAGAATGGAGGAAAGGAAGAGAAAACATACTTTTCTTTTTTTTGAAAACATACTTCTTTTTAAGGACATTTCCTGAAAGTACCACATAAACACTTTCCTTACATCTCACTATGCAGAAATTAGATACATACTTATCCTTAGCTGTAAGGGAGGCTGGGAAGTAAAGTATTTTAGATAGGCAAGTATTTCAAAGGATTTGGTGGCTCAGTTGGTTAAGCATCTGCCTTCAGCTCAGGTCATGATCCCACCTGGGATCAATCCTGCATTGGGCTCCCTGCTCAGCAGGGAGCCTGCTTCTCCCTCTCCCTCTGCCTGCCACTCCCCCTGCTTATGCTCTCTCTTTCTCTGTCAAATAAATAAATAAAATCTTTATTTTTTTAAGATTCTACTTATTTGACAGAAAGAGAGTGAGCAGGGGGAGGAGCAGAAGGAGAGGGAGAGAATCTCAAGCAGACCCCATTCTAAGTGCAGAGCCTGATTCCTACTCGGGGGCTCAATCACAGGACGCTGAGATCATGACCTGAACGGAAACCAAGAGTCCGCCACTTAACAGACTGAGCTACCCTGGCACCCTTGCTGTTATTTCTTTAAATAATCAAACAATAGGGGCACCTGACTGGCTTAATCACTAGAGCATGTGACTCTTGATATTGTTGGGTGTAGAGCTTACTTTTAAAAAAAATAGTAAAATAAAATAAAAAATACTTTATAAAAAATAATGAATAATCAAACAATATGCCACAATATTAGAAATGTACTAATGTAGGTCTTAAAGGACATATGATTCTGCAAAGCAGCTATTCTCTTAAAAACTATTAGGGCACCAAAATACTTTTGCTTCTCTGAATTATATCTATGAGTATTTATTGTATTCAAAATTAAAATTGAGAAAGTAAAAATTATTATTTATTTATAAATATACTAATTTGTTTTTATTAAAATATGTTAATATGCATAATGCATTTTATTTTTTTTATTTTTTTTTAAAGATTTTATTTATTTATTTGAGAGAGAGAATGAGATAGAGAGAGAGAGCATGAGATGGGGGAGGGTCCAAGGGAGAAGCAGACACCCTGCTGAGCAGGGAGCCCGCTGCGGGACTCGATCCCGGGACTCCAGGATCATGACCCGAGCCGAAGGCAGTCGCTTAACCAACTGAGCCACCCAGGCGCCCTGCATAATGCATTTTAAATTAACTATTTTCTAAAACAAAATAATTCATAAAAAGCAGCATTTTCAGTAGTCTTTTTAATCTCTACCTTTTTTTAAAAAAAGATTTTATTTATTTATTTGACAGAGAGAAAGACAGCACAAGTAGGGGGTAGTGGCAAAGGGAGAGGGAGAAGCCGACTCTCCACTGAGCAGGGAGCCCAATACGGGGCTCAATCCCAGGATGCTGGGATCGTGACCTGAGCCAAATGTAGACGCTTAACCAACTGAGCCACCCAGGCGCCCCTTACGCCTGCCTTAATGGAAAACTAGATTCTCATATCTGCTTCTGCATTGTCTGTAGCAGTATATTGTTTTGGTCGAAACAAAAAATTTGGTTTGGTGTATATAAGAAAATATGATCTTCAAGATATGAAGTTAGGAAAAGGAGCAATATTGTAATAACTTTTTCAAATAATTTTTATGGATTTTTTTTTCTTTGATGCTACACCAAAACTCCACAAGTAATATCTTCTTAAAAACTAGTTGAGGGACTCCTGGGTGGCTCAGTCGATTAAGTGTCTACCTTCTGCTCAGGTCCGGATCCGGATCCCGTCCCACATCGGGCTCCCTGCTCCGCGGGGAGCCTGCCTCTCCCTCTGCCTGCCGCTCCCCCTGCTTGTGCTCGTGCTGCTCTCTCTTTCTCTCTCTCTGGCAAATAAATAAATAAAATCTTCAAAAAAAATTAGTTGAAATGTGAAATCTGAAACCACATCTGTGAACTTTGTATACCCTGTTACACTAAAATTCATTGGCTTATTTTATATTTCAAATACCACTTTTACCTATGCATGATTTCGTTGCATCTCATATTGGTAATTTGGAAAATGTAGTTTCATCAAAGTTGGCAAATTTTCCAAATGTTGACACATTTTGTTATATAGTATCAAAAATTCTATTTATGAATATTACTACTGATCTCATCTGAAGTCTTTAAATACTAGGAAGCTATCAAACTCACAGTGGAATATACAAATTTTCTTAAATCCAAATTTTCACTTGTAAGCCTGAAGTTATCAATGGAAAAAAGTACCATCAGTTTTTTCCATGAAGTAACAGGTTCACTTCATATTTGAGAATTTTCTCCAAGATACCCATCTAAATAACCAGTTTGTCTGTCATTCTTAAAATGTAAAAATAACATTCCATTTTTTAAAAAGCAGCTAGGGATGCCTGGGTGGCTCAGTTGGTTAAGTGTCTGCCTTCGGCTCAGGTCATGATCCCAGGGTCCTGGGATGGAGCCCCGTATCGGGCTCCTTGCTCAGCAGGGCAGTCTGCTTCACCCTCTCCTCTGCTGCTCCCCCTGCTTGTGTTCTCTCTCTGTCAAATAAAGAAATAAAATCTCGGGACACCTGGGTGGCTCAGTCGGTTAAGCGTCTGCCTTCGGCTCAGGTCACGATCCCAGGGTCCTGGGATCAAGTCCTGCATCGGGCCCTCTGCTCTGCGGGGAGCCTGCTTCTCCCTCTGCCTCTGTCTCTCATGAATAAATAAATAAAATCTCTATTTAAAAAAAGAAATAAAATCTTAAAAAATAAAAATAAAAAAATTTAAAAAGTAACTAGGTCAGCTCCCCACTTAAACAATTACATCAGTGCTTTCCTTAGAATCAGCCGTGGTGTTTTTTTTTCAAGATTTTATTTATTTATTTGGCAGAGAGATACAGAGAGAGAACAAGTAGGCAGAGAGGCAGGCAGAGGGAGAGGGAGAAGCAGGCTCCCCGCCGAGCAGGGAGCCCGATGCAGGGCTCGATCCCAGGACCCTGGGATTATGACCTGAGTTGAAGGCAGCCGCCCGACTGAGCCACCCAGGCGCCCCTCAGCCAACGTGTTTTGACTTAAGTCTTTAATGATACTTGAAGAACTTAAAGAACTATGGACAGTACAGTAAGGGGGAAATTTAAGTCTTACGGCTCAGCTTGATTAGAAATGTGATTTGCTTTATGAAGTAGCTGTGTTCTTGACGAGTTACGTGTTAATTACTTTTTACAACCCACTTCATATATTCAACACAGTAGTTGTTCTAGGGTTGGAATACAACATTTGGAATTTTTTATAAAACAAAATAGTCTCTTAGTTTCATCTGTTTTAAAAACATACTTTCATATTTTATATTTCTGTGAACTTGGGGGTATGGAAGAAATCTGAATTAAAATAGATAATGTCTTCTTTTGTCAAATACTACGAGCCATTTCCGCCCCAGGATGTTGAAAAGGAGGCATGCTGAGATTTCAGCTGTGAATAGAAACTTTTCCTGGTCTCATAGATCTCCATATCCTAACTTGGGGCTGCCTATCCCCAGTGTATTGTGAGGGATTTGCAGAACCTGGGGGGACGGGATACTTATTGTAGGAACCTATGATTTTACCTGTTCTTATGGCTTTTCATCTCTTTGAAACAAATGTCAAGATTATTTAAAAATATACCTGTCTGGGTGCCCAGGTGGCTCAGTCGTTAAGCGTCTGCCTTTGGCTCAGGTCGTGATCCTCTGGTCCTGGGATCGAGCCCCGCGTTGGGCTCCCTGCTCAGTGGGAAGACTGCTTCTCCCTCTCACACTCCCCCTGCTTGTGTTCCCTCTCTTGCTTTGTCTCTCTCTGTCAAGTAAATAAATAAAATCTTTAAAAATATATATAGCTGTTTGTACCTTGGGGATACACTGTCAGTTAGTTAGAAGATGGGTTTCTTGATAAACA